AGGAAGGAAGGAAGGAAGGAAGGAAGGAAGGAAGGAAGGAAGGAAGGAAGAAAGAAAGGGTGAAGCTGGAGAGGCAATGCCCTGTCCCTGTGCTGAGGCCACCTTGGTGGCTTTCAGGTACTGCAGGGAGGCTATTTCTAGATGGGTGTCCCCATCTTACCTGAACCCACCGAGGGAGGACCGCAGTGGGGGGGAGGCCCTCTCCAGTGTCCCTGCCCTGCCCTTCCAGTGCTCAGTATGTCATGCACCCCATGTCGGGTGCCTCCACTTCGACCCCTGGCTGCTCCCCTGTCCCCTCTGGCTGCTCCTCTGGGGCCAGGAATAGAAGCGCACACCTGAGGGCCCCCGGCTTTCTCCCTCCCCTGCACCTGGGCTGGGCTGGCTGCGGCCCTGGGGAGAGCCAGGTGAATAATTCAGGGAGGCGAGTGTTTGAAGTGTGTTCTGGAGGGGCGTGTGGCAGGCTGTCTCACCCTGCCACCCCAGGGAAGAGGCTCCACAGGGATGGCCCAGGTGCTGGAGCCCTGTGCGTCTGCTGTCTTCACAGCCTTTCAGGAAGCCCCGGGGGACTGACTGTTCACATCCCCACAGCCACCTGCAGTCAGGCCTCAGGCCAGCAGAAGCTGGCTAGGGCAGGCAACATCGGGCAGGGGGAGGGGGAGGCTGCTCTTGAATCTGGGGCCCAGACTGAGGTTGCAGGAGGGTGGCAGGGAGGGCCATGCGGCTGGATAGCTCCTGGCCGACTCCAGGCCAGGACCATGTCTGCTGTCCGTGGTGCTGCCACCGCTTAGACCCGCTGGAAATCCTGGATGTGCACGAGCTCCCTGGCCCTGAACATCCCCAGGCGCCGGGCTCTTCCTTTCCCCACTTCAGTACCCCCCACCCCGCAAACAAAGGCCTTCCAGTCTGCTACCTTGGCCCTCGGCAGCGTTTTCATTTAGCCGTCCACTCATTCACGCATCAAATGTTTGTTGAGCACTTACTACGTGCTCCCTCCAGAGGCTGCAGAGTGAACAGAACAGACTCAGTCTCCAGCTCCGGAGCTTCCGTTCCACCCCGCGCCCCCTCCTCGGAGGAGAAAGGGGGGAAGGCAGGGAAGGCGCCGGGCTCCAATCCTGTCCCCTGTTCTGGGTGCGCAGGCAACCGCTCTCGCCTCGGCCTGGGTGTCCCTCTGCAGCACCCGGCGGGCGACGTCCCTCCGCAGAGCCGGTGTCGCCGTCCCGTTAATTATAGAAAACGCTCACTCCGGGCGTCTGGCACGGATCCGTTTATTTAAGCTTGGCCCCGTCTTCTGAAGCAGGCACGAGGAGGTCGCCATCCCTGTTCTACCTACCAGGGAGCCAGAGGGACAGGCGACCCGCTCGCCCGGGGTGGCGCAGCGGGGAAGTGGCGGAAGTGGCGGCGACGGGATTCGAACCAGACAGCCGGCCCCGGGCCTCGAGGACGGGGACGAGGTGCTGAGGGCGCTGCGCCCAGC